TATTCGTTGAGAGATAGAGAAAGGATAACATTGAAATTGGTAATATAGTTAACTTGAGAAGAAGATTCCAAGAAAAATTGAAAAAAAAAAGCTCCAATTTTGTAGGGTTATATATGTTGCTATCCATCAGTTTCAAGAATCATGTAATCAGATTCTCGTTGCTTTTTTTGGATATTGTTGACATTGAATTTGCTCTTTCTTGTTGCTCCATATTTGTTGGAATTTAGATCATTTGACAATAGACACTTGTCTATTGCATTCAGAGCAAGAACTCAAACTATAGTTTCAAAGGCCCTGTGTTAACCCCTCTCTGAACGTATAAGTTCATTTGTCTCTGTGTTGCATCTTGCTTGTCCGATGCTCTCTTATGTAGTCCCTCATCTGTGTTTTCTTTGCAGACATTATCGACTGGAACGGTCGTACTAATCTCCGCAGTAGCTGCGCTGTTGCTTAACCCGCTTCTTGCACCTCCTGCTTTTGCTAGCTTTCAAACCGCAGCTAAATCCGGTTGGCTAACTAGTGCCTGGACTGGTTTCCTTGCTGGTTGCTTACACACGCTCTCAGGACCTGATCACCTCGCTGCTTTAGCTCCGCTTTCAATCGGACGCACCAGAATGGAAAGTGCTGCTGTTGGAGCTCTTTGGGGATGCGGACACGACGCTGGTCAAGTCATCTTCGGTTTACTGTTTCTCCTGCTTAAAGACCGGCTCCACATCGAAGTGTTACAAACTTGGGGTACAAGAATTGTGGGGTTAACACTCGTTCTCATCGGTGCTATGGGAATCAAAGAAGCTTCGGAGATTCCAGAACCTTGTGTCGCCTTAGAAACCGACATCAGCAGCATGGTACCAGCAGAGAAGGAAGCCTTACCGCCTCCCAAAAAGAAGAAAATCGGGTTTGCTACATTTGCAACCGGAGTAGTACACGGGTTACAACCGGATGCTCTGATGATTGTTTTGCCTGCATTAGCCCTGCCATCTCGATTAGCGGGGTCTGCGTTTCTGATAATGTTTTTGGTTGGGACGGTTATCGCGATGGGAAGTTACACGGCGTTTATCGGGTCTTGTAGCGAGGCGTTGAAAGAGAAGGTTCCAAGGATCACAGAGAAACTAACTTGGATTTCGTCTCTTGTGGCAATTGGTCTTGGATTGGGAATTGTTATCAGCCCTTTCTTTGGTTTTAGCCTCTACTGAAGTTATTGAGGTAAATGTGACTAAGTTGAAATATCTTTGTAGCTCTTAGAAGAAAGAGAGTTTATTTTTTGGGTCCAAAACGATTTCATAGTTGCTTGTACGAACATAAAATCTTGTAATCTTGCTCCTAAAACTCCTCTCGGAGAATAATAATTTCGTGATTCTTTTTTTGTTTCCCTTATTTTTAAAGAAGTTTGGTTTTGGTTTGCATTACAAACAAGTGGATGTAACCATATATTTTTCTTAATTATGAATGTATTCTTGTTAACAAACATTTCAAATTTTTCTATATGTGTTTATCTACTAAGCAAAAGTCTATGTTTCTGTGTATTATATGAACCTGTTTCTGTTTGGGACTGGATGAAATTCCATAATTTCAATTTACAAATGACAAAACCAGAAACAAGTATTAATACAACTTACAATGCTTGATTAATTCTTAATATATTTTCATGTTAAATTCTGTTTTCTTTTTGTATAATATTTCTTGTCCTCGTATGAATTTGTGATTTGCGCATTATTTTACCAAGTGGGATTCGAACCCAAAAAAGAAGAAGAAGTAATTTTACGCTTCATCCCAGTTGAAAAACAACATTTTGTTTACTTTTGAGTCATTTTTATTTATATTATTATGTGAACACTTGTTAATGCCACAAATTCAAACCCAAATGTATTTCCAAATGTCAGAACTCAAAGTCCCTCAAGACTCCGACTTAGATACAAAGTTACAAACGTTTTTCTAATGTGGCCATTTCTACAACACACATTGACAACAACTCTAAATTCTTTATACCACACAAATCATAAAGATTCCATGGCCTTCATTGTCTTTTTCAATTCATACTTGCTTTGCCCTTTCGTCCAGAACATTTGTAATAAATAACATGTCCTTGTCTGACATGTCTTCGGTCATTTGGTTCTTACATTTCATTAATTCGTTATAAATCTAGAAATACTAGAAGATATCACATAACTCTCTTCAAAATAACACCGAGTATATAAAATCTTCAATGTACTTTTATTATTATAAGAAAACATGAGACAAAACTAAGGTCACACAACACAAGAAGTTTTTATTATTTTTGGAGTCTTTAAACGGATAATATTACAACATAGCAACATTATAAGATCCACATGATTTGAAGATTATGTATTATGGCAAATCTGATCTCTTTCCCATCTCTCTTCTTCTCTGCTGATGATTAGAACCACACAAAGACCAATCAAGAAATTTTTCACTAACAAACACTCTTCTTAGATGCTTGGTCTCACGTTGAGACGGCTTGCAAGCTTCTGTCCGAGTGACTTATCAGCCTGTTCTCACACACATTTTACCCAATCAGTATCAAAAATGTTACAAAACTTCACATCTTTTAAAACTGATGAGACTTAGTGAAATAGGCAATGAGACAGTGTTATATACCTGAGACCAGTAAGAGATCCAGATGCTGCGGATTTCGTGTGTGATTCGAGGGTCGGATAAGGCTTCAACCCATCTACGGATGAATCGTTCTTGCCTGAAAATCAAAATCAAAATCAAACCGTAAAACAATAAGAACATGTATGTTTCTTTATGCAGTAGGCTCATCAGAAAATTAACAAGAAAAAACAATTAGTACCTCTCTGGTGTAAAGGAACGGTATCTCTCTCCAGGCTCCTTGAAGTTGTTCTCTTTCTCAATAACGCACTGCAAAACATTAAGACCATATGTTTCTTATGTGAACAATCCATAGGAAACTGAAACAGAGGAAAATGGATTTGGTTTGGTTTGATTACTGACCCTCTCACGTTTTCCAGAGCATACTGCAGGTGGAGTAGGATACTTCTCAGCATGACGAACCGAGTCATACCTTGAAGGGAAGTAATTGACCTGTACCAAATAGTTTCTTGTAAGATAACGATATTCTTGCTTCAAGTTCGATATAAAGATATCGGTATTGTGACATTAATACATACCTCCTCGTCCCTGTGCATGAAATTCATGAAGCCCTCATGGTGGTTGTTGTGGTGAGCACATTTTGGAGCATTGACTGGTAGCTGAAGGTAGTTAGGTCCAAGACGGTGTCTCTGAGTGTCCGCGTAAGAGAAAACACGGGTTTGAAGCAGCTTGTCGTCCGAGTAATGTATCCCTGGAACAATTATTGCAGGACAGAAAGCAAGTTGCTCATTCTCTGCAAAGAAATTGTCAATGTTCTTGTTCAACACCATACGTCCAACGGGTTGTAGAGGCAAGATATCTTCAGGCCATGTCTTGGTAACATCGAGCGGATCAAAATCGAACTTGTCTTCATCAGCTGGATCGATTATTTGGATAAATAGCTTCCATTCAGGGTAGTTACCAGCAGCAATCGAGTCATACAAGTCCTGAGTCGCGTGACTATGGTTGGTTCCACCAACGCGAATCGCGTCTTCTTCCAATAGAGACTTGACTCCACAAGTTGGTTTCCAATGGAACTTGACGTAGTGAGCTTTACCAGCTTTGTTAATCAACATGTATGTGTTGACACCTGAACCATTCATGTGTCTGTAATCTTGTGGGATACCGATATCATCGAATAGGAAAGTGAACATGTTCAAGCTCTCAGGGTGGTGTGAGAAGAAATCAAGAACTCTCCAATTCTCTTGAATGTGAGATTTCGGATTTGGCTTAAGCGCGTGAACCATGTCCGGAAACTTCATCCCATCACGGATGAAGAAAACCGGAAAGTTGTTACCAACAAGATCAAAGTTTCCCTGCATTCAAAAGAATTGATCATTTCGCTTTAGTATACGAAAATAAATCTTTTAAA